TTTTTCATCAAAAAAATTTCCTCCCCCCTTCATGCCATCCCCGTCTCTCCCTCCCAACTCCTTCCATCCTTCCCCACATTTATCTCCCAATCGCCCTCCTCATATCATTCGCCTCATTGAAACGGGAGAGGGACAGATGTTATTCTGTTCAGCTATCATAACGACGGGACCAATCACATTCCGCGCCCGAAAGAGGCTCGACAGGCGTCGAATATCTACGGGCCGAGGCAAGCCTCACCTAATACGAGAAGCGCAGAAAGAATTTTAAGAATGGAGCGTCCTCGGGGATCGTGTTTGGAAATCGTCTTTGGGGAGAGAGAGAGAGAGAGAGAAGAGAGAGAGAAGAGAACGAGAGACAGAGAGAGAGAGAGAGAGATGGGAGAGATGATAGGAATGAGAGGAGGAGGGAAGGAGATCTGAAGAGAGGAGAGAGAAAAGGGAGAGAGAGAGAAGAGAGACGCCGTATGAGAGAAGAGAGAGAAGACGAGAGAGACGGAGAGAGAGAGAGCAGAAGATGACGAGATAGAAGAGGAACGTTAAGCACGAGAAGGAGGAGAGGAGATGAAGAGAGAGAGACGAGAGATGAAAAGAGAGATGAGAGAAGAGAAAGAGAAAAGAGAGCGAGAGAGAAGAGAAGCAGAACGAGAGAGAGAAGGGAAAGGGGAAAAAAAAAAAGATAATTTATCGAGAACCGTGGAAGGGAGGGCAAAATATAGAGAGAAATATATACATTGCACACAATTACAACACAACACACACACATATATACATATTATAAATATATATATATATAATATAATTATATATATATATATATATATATATATATATATATATATTATATAGTAATTATATTATATATATATATAATTTATATATATATATATATATGTTATATATATATATTATATATATATATATATATATAATAATATAATATTCATATAATATTATATATTATATATTAATATACATATATATATATGTGTGTGTGTGGTGTGTGTGTTGCAATGTGTTTGGGATACAAATGGTCGATAGTGTGGTGTGCTGTTGTGTAACTCTGGATCACGGTGTGTGTGTATGTATATATGTATAATGTTCTTCATCGCGATGTGATTTAAAGAAAAGAAATAGGACGGGAGGAAGTACTGGAGAGAGAGAGGGAGAGGAAAAAAAGAGGAGTGAGAGAAGGAGAAAGATGACGAGAGAGCGCAGAGAGAGCGAGAGAAGAGAGAGAGAGATGACGAGAGAGAGAGAGAGACGAGAGAGAGATGGAGAAGAGAGAGAGAGAGAGAAAGAAAGAGAGAGCAGAGGAAGGGAACGAGAGAGAGAGGAGAAGAGAGAGAGAAGAGACCAGAGAGAGATAGAGAGGAGAGAGAGACGAAGAGAGAGAAGGAGACTGTGAGGACGAGAGAGAGAATCGGAGGAAGAGAAGAGGAGAGAAGACGAGAGATGAGAGAAGGAGAGGAGAAGGAGAGAGGAGAGGGAAGAGGAGAGTTGAGTGAGAGAGGAGAGAGAGACGACGATGAGACGATGAGACGAGAGAGAGAGAGAGAGAGAAGAGAGACGAGACGAGGATGGACGGAGAGAGAGAGAGATAGAGAGAGGAGAGAGAGAAGAGGGGATGAGCAGAAATAATTAAGTGAGAGAAATATATACATGCACACAAATGCACACACACACACACACACACACACACACATATACATACATACATATATATATATAATATATATATATTATATATATATAAATATATAATATATAATGTGTTCAAATGGATCATGTGTGCTGTTGTGCAATGTGTGTATGAGTGTGACTCCTCTGCTGTGTGTTTGTGTGTTGTATGATGTATGGAAGATGATGTTGTGTGTGTTGTGTGTATTGTTCTTCATCGGCCGTATGTGAATAAAGAGCAAGAATAGGAGAGGAAGGGGGCGGGAGAGAGAAGAGAAGAAGAGAGAGAGATGAGAGAAGAGACGAGAGAGAAAGAGGGGGGGAAGAGATGGAGAAGAGAGGAGAGAGAGAGGAGAAGATGATGTGGTGTGAGGGTACTTGAGGCGGTTTGATAGACGAGAGGAAGTGAGATAGACGATGGAGTGATGAATAGATAGAATAGATAGATAGATAGAGATAGTAGATAGAGATAGATTAGATAGATAAAGATAGAAGAGAGAAGAGAGAGAGAGAGAGAGAGAGAGAGAGAAGGCGGGGGATGGAGGAAGGAGCCAGGGGGGGAGGAAGAAAGAACAGAGAGGAGAGAGATAGAGAGATAGAGAGATAATAGATAGAGATAGATTAGAGATAGAGAGAGAGAGAGAGAGAGAGAGAGAGAGAGAGAGAGAGAGAGAGAGAGAAGAGAGAGAAGAGAGAGAGAAAGAGAGAGAAAGAGAATAATAGATAGATAGATAGATATAGAGAGAGTGAGAGAAATATAGTGAGTGAGAGGGAGAGAGTACGGTAGCGAGAAGAGAGAGATATAGACAGACAGATAGATAGA